TGCAGTGAGAGGCTAGATAGCCCAACGGATAATGCCCAGTTGTTTATAAAGCAATATTTAGCTTCAGTTAGCCAGCTGCTTTGACAAGGTATTACTGGAAAGAATGAAGACTAGACTTAGTGTGTGTTTGTGAGAGAGAGAGAGGGAGAGACTGGTGGTTTTAGATATGGTATAAACCATAAATCCTCATATTGGAGAATCAACACTGAGATAAAATTCCTGACTGTTTCAATCTTAAATCACTCAAATTACCGTGGTGATCTGGTTGAAACTTTCAGGGATTAACAAATATATATATGTGAATAAATCCACAGTATCAAAGACATGTTTCCTTCTGTTGTTCAGTGTGTGATCTAATGTTCTCCGCCTCCTCCACCTTGGTGTACAGTTGATTGTTGTGTGTCGTATCATGCATTGTCTGTAATAGTAAGAAAAAGGCTCCATTATGGTGCTACTACCACCAGCAATTACAGATGTTTTAGCTTCTGTGCCTCTGCCTCTCCTGTCCTACCATAACACTATGAGTACGTCTGATCCGCTACTGTCGTTAAGTGTTCACTGTCGGGTAAATAGCTTTGTTTACAATGAACTATTTTTGGTCTGCAGCACAAATTGGTGGAAAGGTTTATGGAAAAGTGAGTCCTGAGACTACTGAATAAACAGCTTCGCATATGCATGACTTTTGACGACAGAATTCAAACATTCACTAGTTGGTATAGCAATTGAAAATCTGTAAATGAGAACCCAGTTATTTTTAGTTCTTAATGCAGAAAACTAATCAAGTCCAACTTAAACAGCTGCAGAAGTTGCTTGGCCCAGACCTTCATCATCAAAGTTAAAATAATGATTTCCACATGGTTAAGGTTGTGGAATAGTCACAATTTGAATGGGGTTTAGGTGCGAAAAAACAACTTTTTCTGGTTAAGGCCGCAAACATCACAGTTTGAGCTGAAGTAGAGGACATTAGTCACGATGGCTACAACAACAGTTCAGGTTTTTTAACAGTCCTGGATAAAAAAACAACAACACTCAATATTGGTTTCACTCAAAAAGACTGTATTTTGTCGACTAATCCAGTTTTTATCCGAACATCCTTTTAACATGAACTGGAAAGAAAGGAGAGAAGAGGGGAGAGAGGAGGGGACAGCAGAGGAGAATGTCTAATAGAGATATATCATTACACTGTTATATGTGTAATCTATTGTGCTGCCATTGAACAGCAGCAGCATGAGTTTGGCAGTAGGCCACACACACACACACACACACANCACACACACACACACACACACACACACACACACACACACACACACGCTGTGCCTCCAGTGGGGCAGTAATAGAGGGTGTGAGTGTATTAGTCGCTACAGTCCAAGTGTTAAGTGCTGGCCTGTTGCGTGTGAGATCGATGACAGCCGGGCGGCCCCTCATTCACACACGCACATACACACATAGACACACACACACACACACAGAGCTGTGACACATAGCCTGAGGTCAGGGGTCACTCACAGACATCTCTGTCTCTCAAACACACACGAAAACATCTCTCTATTTCTGTGTGTATATACACGTATGTATCAGAAACACTTACTGGGTCTAGTACACACACACACACACGCACACACAGCCGCAGATATACTCATCCTGTGCTGTGACCACGGGGAGGGGCCCGCTGTCAAGCACCAGTGGTCCATCGATACTCAGGCAGAGCACTAATGCCTGCTGTCTGCTGATGGACGCTGGCCTGCCTCCGGGGACCATTAGACTCACTGGGACACAGACGGACACATATACACAAACACACATTGGTGCATGAACATGAAACGCATAAGCAAACCTAGCACTTGAATGCACCCACACTAAATAGCACCCACATGCTCAAACAGTGTTTATAGCATACATGCATATATATATATATGCATTTTTAACATGTTTTCAAAACTCTGAATTAACTAAATAGTCAGACATGTTTGTGCGCAAATAGTTTTTTTACATTTTGGCAACAATGTGCGACACCACTTCTTTTCCTTGTATTGAGCAAAATGCAATTCTGACGAGACCCATGGAGGAAAAAAAACAGAAAGGCAAACTCCTCTACTGGTAATGGGACAGAAGTCTGTTTGCTTTATTTTAGCTGGTTTACCAATGTTTTAAAAACTGTGTACACTCAATAGTTTTGGTGTAAAAAGTAAAGTTTATTCGCGGTAAAATAATCAAAAGGAAAAACAATTCATGGTAATTATGGGAACACATTTAAATCATTGCTGTCACTTAGATTTATGTGGTAAATTTCTGTCAGCCTCCTGCTGTCAGGATTTACCAAATCTAACTGGGAAAGAAAAGTAATGTCACGTTCTAATTATAACTCGTGTTCTACCTTTGGTTAGTTTTTCTTCCTGGTGAGTTCAAACATACTTTTCCCAAACAAGTTAGTTCTGTTCAGATCCACTACAGCACACATCACCTGTCGCAGTGCATTGCTGCTGCTACAGTTCATGATGCCATCCCACTCGATCCTCCTCTTTCCTGTCCTGAACCAGGCAGGTGGGTCATTATGTCATCAGCACTCACATGGCTAAAATTGCCAGAGTGCTGCAGGATCAAGTGCTACGTTCTGATCCTTTGCCTCGCAGTCCATCGAACTTCAATCCAGACACCATTAGTGCTACTCTTCTCTCCTTTACTGAGGCTCTTTGGTCTTTTCTTCATTCATTTTTCCTTCGCACAGGACCCCTCGGTTTTTGCAGCTCCCTCAAACCACCCAATTGAGCACAATCACAGATCTGTATTACTCACTGAGTGACAGACTCAGCACCTTTTTTATGGGTGAATTAGCCCAACAACAGATGTGCTGAAGTCTGTGAAAGAGCAGAAGATGATAGAGCAGATACCTTAGGCCTTAGACGACCCTGCAGTCATGCGTTACACAATAAATCGCAAATACAAATATGTATAAGTATTAGTTAGAACGCTAGATCGATAGATGGAAATATGACACCATTCACACTAATAATGGTCCGCTATGATCCTTTACAATGTTATTGTTTTTGTCACCGGGATGCGGTTTTCAAGGAAAAAATGGCACCTCGATGCACCTTTATGGCACAAAGGAGCTGTGTCACCCACCGTGTAACCAAAACGAGGAGGGGAATAGTGTTCTCCTTTCCCCACAGATGGAAAAGACAGACAGTGGAACAGCTGAATTCACCAAAACTCAACAACAAAAGCAGGAGAGTGATAGAAAAACTTCAATTCACCTCCTCAGTGTACGTACTTCTTCTCCGTCATCTCAGAAGTGGCGTTGACAACTTCCTCAGGAGTGTTCTTACCCGCGTCTTGTTACTGCAGTGTCTTTATAACAATGGCCAAAAAGTAAAACCACCTGGAACCAAGTTGTCTCCATGATGACACATGATGGACAAGTGTTAACAACAGTATGTATCATAAAGTGGAGAGCAGATATTTGTCAGTTACCAGGACGCATTGAATTCAAAAGCAGCAGATTGATTATGATGACAGGAACTGGTGTAGTGTAGCCTTGAGTGGTGTATTTTTATCTTTTCATTGTCAACAACTTCAGTGAAAAGACCACAATCAAAAAAATACTTCATAATAAGCAGTTACTTAGTCATGAGGAGCATGAGCATGAACATTTAGAGCTTAAAACGGCAGTCCTGGAATTGTTATTTAAACATCATCCAGTGCAAGATTTCTGTCTCATGTTTTTAACAGCATTTAGATGATGTTTATACTCTGACAAACCTTAAATAAATCGACCCCTCAAATGAAAAGTATGTGTACTGTGTATTCAGGCCTGAGTCTGTGTATAACAAGTGTACTATAATGCCAGCCTCACTGCAACACATAGCTGATTAACACATTCAATGAAAGCGCTATAAGGAAATGTAAAGTTGATTTTTGTTTGGCAGGGCATTGATTTCCATGCCTGACTGCATGCTTTCATTACCAAAAGATATTTTCAAAAATCTTTCAGTAATTTGTTTCTGACCGAGGCGGCTGCTTTCATGTATCGTAACAGTCTGATTAAAAACTGAGCGTTATTATTCTAAAATGTCACAGAATAGCATTGGGATATCATTCAGTTCTTTGTTTCCATGGCTGTCAGTAGCAACAAAAAAAACCTCAAACTTGGTTTTGTTCCAATATTGATATCTGTGCTCTATGAATTCCTCATTAGACCAGTTAATTACTACCCAGCACTGCTACCGAGTCTTTGTTTTATTGGCTCAGCACAATAAAGAGGCATCCCTAGAGCTCAGAGATAACACAGTCCCATAATATAATAACATGAGTGGGAAAATGAAAGTGTTACAAGTTACAACAAAGCTCTCGGTGGTTTCGGACTATATCTGCATTAGATTAAAAGAATAATCAGAGTTGATAGAAACGGGGGAGGACTCATATCTGCAACGCCTGTGTATGTACAAGCTGTCGGAGGTGACATGTTTTTTTCCTCTCTTTCTTTTTAGTGATTTAAAAAAATATATAAAATACAAATTCTTGTCCAGCTGATGGTTTAACACATGGAGCTTTTCTATAGAGTGCAACATGACCGCCCGTCTTTAGAATAGCTCTGGTTCTGGAAGTAAATATTTAAAATATTGGAAATTGGAAAAAGGGACTACGCATCCCACAAACCATTGCAAATGACCCCTTTCCAACAACTTCCAGCCAGTCCTTCTTGAACTAACCTTGTTGTTAACATAGTGTTGCAGTACATTGTAGTTTCTCTTGTATGTTTATAGCATTTTGTAAAGTGTTGTTACACTGAATGATCCGATCGTAGCCAACGTGATTTTTGCGGTTGTGGGAAATATTTCCGTAGCAACAGGGAGGTCCACCAATCAGACACGTCGCTACTACACCTGAGGATTGTGGGTAGTGTTATACTTCCTATTAATAAAATATGCTTTATTAAAATGCAGTATAAACACATGGCCCCCTACAGGAGAATAAAACTATGTTTTACAATCTTGTAGCTTGTGGCACATCTACCTCTACAAGTGAGAGCAGAGGTGTAGAGAAGACACAGGGACGAGGAGGAGAGGAGTGAGCTACACAAAGAAGAGATGCAAACAAAGTGAAGGATGATGAGCAAGAAAACAGTGAAAGGACACCTTGAGAGGAAGAGGAGAGAGAGATGGGTCCCGACAGGAGAAGGGGGCTGTCTACAGATTTGCCTGCATCAAACCCAGGCGCCTGTGGGCATCATCAGAGTACACACACACACACACACACACACA